CGTTAGTCAAATTGTCATTAGTTTTTTTTTAAAGATCAGTTCTTTTTTTTTCTTAGGGGTCGTAAATCAAAATTTTTTTAGATTCTTTTTGTCAGCGCAAATCTTGTTTAAGTTGGATATGGAACATATTCTTTTTTAAAGATCAGTTCTTTTTTTTTCTTAGGGGTCGTAAATCAAAATTTTTTTAGTTTTTTTTTGTCAGCGCAAATCTTGTTTAAATTGGAGATGGAACTAATTCTTTATTTAAAGTTAAGTTCTTTTGGTTTGTTTTTGTTAGGGTCGTAAGTCAAATTGCCATTAGTTTTTTTTTTAAAGATCAGTTCTTTTTTTTTCTTAGGGGTCGTAAATCAAAATTTTTTTAGATTCTTTTTGTCAGCGCAAATCTTGTTTAAGTTGGAGATGGAACTAATTCTGTATTTAAAGATAAGTTCTTTTCGTTTGTTTTTGTTAGGGGTCGTAAGTCAAATTGTCATTAAATTTTTTTAGTTAGATATGGAACTTATTCTTTTTTAAAGATCAGTTCTTTTTTTGTTAGGGGTCGTAAATCAAAACTTTTTTAGGTTCTTTTTGTCAGCGCAAATCTTGTTTAAGTTGGATATGGAACTAATTCTTTATTTAAAGTTAAGTTCTTTTAATTCGTTTTTGTTAGGGTCGTAAGTCAAATTGTCATTAGTTTTTTTAAAGTTAAACATGGAACATATTATTTTTTAAAGATCAGTTCTTTTTTTTTTCTTAGGGGTCGTAAATCAAAATTTTTTTCGATTCTTTTTGTCAGCGCAAATCTTGTTTAAGTTGGAGATGGAACTATAGTTATAACTCTTTATTTAAAGATAAGTTCTTTTGGTTTGTTTTTGTTAGGGTCGTAAGTCAAATTGCCATTAGTTTTTTTTAAGTTAAATATGGAACATATTCTTTTTTAAAGATCAATCCTTTTTTTTTTCTTAGGGGTCGTAAATCAAAAATTTTTTAGATTCTTTTTGTCAGCGCAAATCTTGTTTAAGTTGGAGATGGAACTAATTCTTTATTTAAAGTTAAGTTCTTTTAGTTCCTTTTTGTTAGGGGTCGTAAGTCAAATTGTCATAAATTTTTTTTAAGTTGGATATGGAACTTATTCTTTTTTAAAGATCAGTTATTTTTTTGTTAGGGGTCGTAAATCAAAACTTTTTTAGATTCTTTTTGTTTGGGCAAATCTTGTTTAAGTTAGAGATGAAACTAATTCTTTATTTAAAGTTCTTTTAGTTTGTTTTGTAAGGGGTCGTAAGTCAAATTGTCATTAGTTTTTTTTAAGTTAAATATGGAAATTATTCTTTTTTAAAGATCAGTTCTTTTTTTTAGGGGTCGTAAATCAAAATTTTTTTAGATTATTTTTGTCAGCGCAAATCTTGTTTAAGTTGGAGATGGAACTAATTCTTTATTTAAAGTTAAGTTCTTTTAGTTCCTTTTTGTTAGGGGTCGTAAATCAAAACTTGTTCAGATTCTATTTGTTAGGGCAAATCTTGTTTAAGTTAGAGATGAAACTAATTCTTTATTTAAAGTTCTTTTAGTTTGTTTTTGTAAGGGGTCTTAAGTCAAATTGTCATTAGTTTTTTTTAAGTTAAAAATGGAACATATTCTTTTTTAAAGATCAGTTCTTTTTTCTTAGGGGTCGTAAATCAAATTTTTTTTAGATTCTTTTTGTCAGCCCAAATCTTGTTTAAGTTGGAGATGGAACTAATTCTTTATTTAAAGATAAGTTCTTTTGGTTTGTTTTTGTTAGGGGTCGTAAGTCAAATTGTCATTAGTTTTTTTAAGTTGGATATGGAACTTATTCTTTTTTAAAGATCAAAACTTTTTTAGGTTCTTTTTGTCAGCGCAAATCTTATTTAAGTTGGATATGGAACTAATTCTTTATTTAAAGTTAAGTTCTTTTAGTTCGTTTTTGTTAGGGTCGTAAGTCAAATTGTCATTAGTTTTTTTTAAGTTAAATATGGAACATATTCTTTTTTAAAGATCAGTTACTTTTTTCTTAGGGGTCGTAAATCAAAAGTTTTTTAGATTCTTTTTGTCAGCGCAAATCTTGTTTAAGTTAGAGATGGAACTAATTCTTTATTTAAAGATAAGTTCTTTTAGTTTGTTTTTGTTGGGGGTCGTAAGTCAAATTGTCATTCGTTTTTTTAAGTTGGATATGGAAAGATCAGTCCTTTTTTTTGTTAGGGGTCGTAAATCAAAACTTTTTAGATTCTTTTTGTTAGGGCAAATCTTAAGTTGGAGATGAAACTAATTCTTTATTTAAAGTTCTTTAGGGGTCGTAAGTGAAATTGTCATTAATTTTTTTAAAGTTTGATATGGAACTTATTCTTTTTTAAATATCAGTTATTTTTTTTGTTAGGGGTCGTAAATCAAAACTTTTTTAGATTCTATTTGTTAGGGGTCGTAAGTCAAATTGTCATTAATTTTTTTTAAGTTGGATATGGAACTTATTCTTTTTTAAAGATCAATTATTTTTTTTGTCAGGGGTCGTAAATCAAAACTCTTTTAAATTCTATTTGTTAGGGCAAATCTTGTTTAAGTTGGAGATGAAACTAATTCTTTATTTAAAGTTCTTTTAGTTTGTTTTTGTAAGGGGTTGTAAGTCAAATTGTCATTAGTTTTTTTTAAGTTAAATATGGAACATATTCTTTTTTAAAGATCATTCCTTTTTTTTTTCTTAGAGGTCGTAAATCAAAATTTTTTTAGATTCTTTTTGTCAGCGCAAATCTTGTTTAAGTTGGAGATGGAACTAATTCTTTATTTAAAGTTAAGTTCTTTTAGTTTGTTTTTTTGCTAGGGGTCGTAAGTCAAATTGTCATTAGTTTTTAAGTTGGATATGGAACTTATTCTTTTTTTAAAGATTAGTTGTTATACTTTGTTTTTGTAGGGATTGTAGATCAAAATTTTGTTTAGATTCTTTTTGTTAGTGCAAATATGGAACTAATTCTTTATTTAAAGATCAGTTCTTTTAGTTCGTTTTTGTTAGGGGTCGTAAGTAATATTATTATTAGATTCTTTAAGTTATTTTTTTTTGTTAGGAATCGTAAATCAAAACTTTTTTAGATTCTATTTGTTTGGGCAAATCTTGTTTAAGTTGGAGATGAAACTAATTCTTTATTTAAAGTTCTTTTAGTTTGTTTTTGTAAGGGGTCGTAAGTCAAATTGTCATTAGTTTTTTTAAGTTAATTATGGAACTTATTCTTTTTTAAAGATCAGTTCTTTTTTTTAGGGGTCGTAAATCAAAATTTTTTTAGATTTTTTTTGTCAGTGCAATTCTTGTTTAAGTTGGAGATGGAACTAATTCTTTATTTAAAGTTAAGTTCTTTTAGTTCGTTTTTGTTAGGGGTCGTAAGTCAAATTGTCATTAGTTTTTTTTAAGTTGGATATGAAACTTATTCTTTTTTTAAAGATTAGTTCTTTTACTTCGTTTTTGTAGGGATCAAAATGTCAAAATTTTGTTTAGATTCTTTTTGTTAGTGCAAATATGGAACTAATTCTTTATTTAAAGATCAGTTCTTTTAGTTCGTTTTTGTTAGGGGTCGTAAGTAATATTATTATTAGATTCTTTAAGTTGGATATGGAACTTATTCTTCTTTTAAAGATCAGTTCTTTTACTTCGTTTTTGTAGGGATCATAGGTCAAAATGTTGTTTAAATTCTTTTCGTCAGGTCAAATTTCAAGTTGGAGATGAAACTAATTCTTTATTTGTTCGCTTTTGGGTAGGTGAACATATTTTTTAAATTCTTTTCGTCGTTGTAGTCTGTTTTAGATAGTGAACATCCTATGGAACCAGGCGCCCAGGAGTTTCCTATAAAACCCTCCTTTTTATTCCTTCCATTTAGACCCATTTTAGTTCAATTTCACAATCTCCAGATTGTTGAATTAAATTAAAATGGTAGATGGATCTTGAAAGTACTTTTTGGATTTTGTCTTGGAACATCGGTAATCCGTGCTAACCCGTTTTTAACGTGGAGCATGTTGTTGCGCACCGGCGCTAATCTATTTGTAACTTAATTATCTGTCGTTTTCCTTTTCTACCCTTCCCATTACCTTAATCCCCTCATTTGGACCTGACATGGACATCTTGGACTTCTTGGAACTTCAGGGTGCGAGTGAATCTTATATACAAGTATGTATACAACCAGTAAATTTGTTTTTTGCGTGTTTTTGTTCATTTAAATATTTTATCTGTTTTAGGAAATTTTAGGTACATAATATGATAAGGAGGGTGGAGGGTAACTCCGCCAGGTATTTTTAACCTGCCGGTCCCAAGCCCGGATAAAGGAGGAGGGCCCTCACTCTTTTCTATTTTTTTTTAGATTGTTTTCGTCGGGTCAAATCTTGTTTAGGTTATAGGTGGTTTTTGTCAGGTTGGAACTTTTTCTTTTTTAAAGATCAGTTCTTTTATTTCCTTTTAGTATAGACTTCCTATTTAGCACCTTGTTTAGGTAGGAAATTAAACGTTTTCATATTAGATCAGCGTTTTGTTAATATAAAAAACAAAGAAGTTACAATAAAAAATTCTACTTTTTTGTGATAAAAAATCTCCGCTAGTTGTCTTACTACGACAATATTATTTTTGGTTCAAGCAACTAAAAAATACAACTTTCTCATCTTAATCATTTAAAATTTGTTTATTTGCCCTGAAAGAAACTAAATAAAATATTAAACTTACAATAAAGTGACAGTTAATAAAAAAAATATGGTTATATTTTTTTTATTAACTCTAATACCCTGTATCTTGAAAACAAAGCATTAGAGCTTACAAGTTCTTATACCTAAATTTTTCTTCCTATTTCTTTAAGTTCAATTACAAAATTTTCACGAATAAAATCTGAGAGACACCCTATAAACATGTATACAGGTACAATTTATTATTACAGCAGTGATGACGTTTTTTATCTATTACGTCACTAGCATGCCCGTACAAAATAAATTGCAGGCACTCTAACGTGCACCTAGTCACTTCGAAATAATAAAAACAAACTAACCTGCATGATTTTAAGGGTACATTAGTCTTTTCCGACACTTCATCTAAATCCTTCCTATGTTTGGAGGACAATTTTTTACCTAATAACTCCTTTATAACTCCATCATCAATTTCATAATATCTATGACAAAATTTTAATTATTGCAACAAAAATAACATTTAACCAGTTTCAACACACTTTTCTATAAGTAATTGTCGCGTTTGAGGCTCTATTTGAAAGGACAATTGTTCTTGTAGCTTATTGGGATTGCTCAATAACTTTTCTAGCAATGAATAGGTTCGAAAATGATCCAAAACATCACTAGCTATCAGTTCTTTCGATACACCTGTTATTTGGCCTAAACCTGACTTATATAGGTAAGAAACAGCTTCGGTAGCTACAAATAAGGCAAAATTAATATAAAATTAAAAGTAAACATAACCTAACATTAACCTGTGTACCCCTGAATCCATAATTCGTATATTTCTGGGTCCACTAGCGTGTAATTACTTATGAATACATCCACTTCAACCATTTTTATGTGTAAAATTGTGTTGTTTAATTTTATAACTAATTTTTTTATTTTTGTCAATTATTTTGTTTTTAGACAGTTGGTAACACTACGTGACTCACGTTGGTAACACTACGTGGCTCACGTAACGTGAGCCATGAAAATGAAATACACTTATATAGATCCTAATTTGTGAATAATTCCTCACATTCGTGAGGAGTTTCATGGTCTGTGCGTTAAGTGCAATTATGAGTATTTTTCTTTGAAAACTCAGAAACTGCACGTTTCAGGAATATAGTTTTGGATGATTGGCAACATTGCTCAGCAGGATATTTAACTGATTTGCTGATCTTTTCTCGGGTTCTATATTATTTGGAGTGGTTTAGCGACTTGTATATATAGCATGTATAATTTTAAAAAATCTATTTTTAAATGTGGGTTATTAAAACCCAGAAACTATTTAAATTGGTAAAATCAGTTGGCAATACTGATTGTACAAAAAGCTGTGGGTAGTTCAAATGTCTCACTCAAATTTTAGACCTAAAAATGGGTATAAAACATTTGTGGTCAATTTTGGGGCCCTACTACGAAAGAAAGCCTTTATTCGAGTTACAAGGCAAAACCGTGGCTGTTGATTTATCGTGTTGGATATGCGAGGCCCAAAATATAGCGGAATATCAGGTCCAGCCGCGTATGTATTTAAGGTTAGGATAAACATTTCAAAGATAAATGTTTTTTTTGTTTCTATTCAATATATTGTATCTCTGCCGTCCGTGGAAAATATTTTGCGAAGAAGTGTAAAAACCTTGGACTGCAGAGCTATTTTTCAGATATATGAGCCCATTAAAATAACACTTTATTTGTAGAAATTTGTATTTTCGTACGGCATATTTGCTTTTAATGGAAGTGTACCCCGTTTTTGTTTTGGAGGGCAAAGCTCCAGAATTAAAATATGAAACAATTGCAGCAAGAAATGCAATACAATTTAAAGGTAATACATATTATTTAAAATTTAATATCAAACAAAATACCATACATTTTTTGTCCCAAATTAACCTTGACATTTGTCAGTTTGAGACAGCCCTGAAAAAAAAGAGTTAAATGTTTGACCCTAGCCCTTTAAGCCCTCATTTGAGGCTTACAAGTGCCTCTGTAAGAAACACAATGTTTAAAACAGATATTAATCTGTATAAACAGCACAAACCCAAAGCACAAGAATTGTAAAAAACATAAAAATGGCCGCCGTTAAAGTCTGTGCAGTGGGTTGCCTAACTTTTTGGTATACCAAGTGGTAAATAAAACTACACAGTCCACTTAAAATGGTTTTATTTATTATTAGTATCATGATCAGTACCATAAAAATAAAACATGTGGAAGAAATATTTTATAAAAAAGTAAATAAAACGAAAACATTTCTGATATTGTAATAAGTAATTATTTTTTGCATTTGACGACAAAATCTTCTGCTACTCTAAATTTCAGAATTTTATCTTGAATCTCAATCTCTTCATCAATCCTGATTAGGGTATTATTTACAAATATTTTAAACTCACTCTTATCGGTTTTGATTAAATTTTTTAATTTAATTCTTTCATCATTAATGTTACGGAAAACAGCAGTGACATGGTCAAGATATACATAATAATCTTTTTGTTCCAAATTGAAAAAACCAATTTTACTTTCACAGTAAGGTCTTAAGATTGCTTTTTTATGGGTGTTAAAATGAGTGTTTAGTTCAAAAAAGTTTTTAAAATTCTCACTAGAGCAATTTGGCACTGGACAAATTGGTATGGGCTCATGTTTAATGCAGTTCAGTTCATGTTCATAAAGATTAAAGCTATCAAAATATTGTTCACATTTCCATTTGCAGTATGCTTGTACGTTTAGGAAAAATTCATTGAAATGTAAATATTCTTCTGGATAATGCCCTTCGGAACAAGTTTTGCTTATATTGTCATTACATGATTGACAACATACAATGGGTTCAGAGCAAGTTCTGTAGTTATAAGAGGGTTTAGAATATAAATTGTTTCCGCAAAAACTACAAAACAACATAGATAAATTCCCATCTTCCTCAAGATCAATACAATACAATTTACAGAAGGATAGTTTTGCATTAGGGTTTAATTGTTTAAATTTTGGGGATAAGTAAAGTTTTCTTCCAAAATAGTTACAGCTAATGTTATTAATCATTGATTTTTGGTATATTTCTTTTAATGGTTCTTCTATAATGTTTTTGTTTAGCTTTAATTGAACATTGGCAAACTGCACAGCATCAACATTTAAATTTAGTTCGCAAAAAATTTTGTCCAATTTTTTAAACTCTCCCAAAGGAAATTCAAACCTCTTTTTCAAAGATGTGTCACATGGTTGAACTTCACTGTTCTTGCAAAACAAACCTTCTTGTACACGAAATTGCTGACTTATCCCTTTGGTTAATTCGTGGGGCCCAACCAACTTATTGTCCAGGAAAATTTTACCATTCACTGTATCTACCGAAAGGTTCAACATAAAAAGCGTGTTCTCGGTGCAATATAAGTAGAATTCGTCCGAATCAACGTTGCCATCAATTTGGACGACAGGCTTTTTCAGCAAATAATTTCCATGGCATTTTTTAAAGTGTGCCAGCAGCATGTAGGGTGGCATTTTTAATTCGGTGCACAACGGGCAAACGTCCAAGTTTCTGCTGATGCAGTTCTTTTCGTGTTCTTTTACTTGTTCGGGAAGTAAAAGTGAGGTGCATCCCTCGTAACGATTAACGCATTTGAAGAGTGTGGTTGGAAAAACCTTATTCACCTGCGATGGCACTCCTCCATCGTCCTCTTCTATACAACGGCCGCATCTCACGGTTCTGTTCGGGTAGGCAAGAACTGGCAACACCGACAAGTATTTTGAACACTCTGAACAGACCATCTGGTCTAAAATCTGGTCCGGGAGGATCGTGTTCATTTTCGGGATCTCGTTTTAACTTGCAAAGGAGATTAAACCTTTTAACAAATAATAAACATAACCTATACAAAGTTCTTCTTCTTCAATCTGAAGACGACAGCATAGAAAAAGGACGACAGTGCGGCAATGTTTCGTAAAAATACAAACAGTTGGTAGCAAGATACATAAACCTTAAGATAGGATGGTGCGCATGTTGGGCGGGGCTTCAATACGTCACTTGATGAGTGTTTTTAAATCTTTAACGTGCTTTTTAGTTATCTGCTGCTAAAATTCTTGTTTTTGCGATGCTGTTGGATGTTAACTTGCTCTATTTTTTGTTTAACTTGTTTTTGCGTTCGGTAAGGTTCGAATTACTTTTCAGTGTTCAAATTATTGTTATTGCGTTTTGTTAACCTGTTCTGTTTGTTTATTATTGTTTTTGTGTTGCGTTAACTTGTTTTGTTTTTGTTTTACTTTGTGTCGTGCCATTTGCATTTATTAAAATGCGGCGTGGACAACCAGTCCAAGAAATAAAAACATTAAATTTAATCGATTTCCGAAAAACTTTGATTTGTGGAAACAGTGGTTAAATGCCACAAAAAGAATAGACAATATTAACGTTAAGACCGCATCTGTTTCCTCTAAAAATTTTCTAGACAGTGACTATAAGTTTAATTTAAAACACCAACGCTTAAACTACAGCCCTAAATGTTATCAAGGACTGAATTTCAGTCACTAAAAGCATTTATTATCCCTATTATAACACTTTTTTCAATATTAAGTTTAATTAAAACGCACTATGTCCAGATATTTCTCTATTTTCTTTGATAATATTACTATTATTCGTGTATTCGCACGGCAACTACTCATCAAGTGACGTCATGCGCGGCACAAACCAAAACTCGTACACGGTAGGTACCAACTGCTTTTGGTAAAAAATTCTTAGCTTTTCAATTGAAGGGGTCAATGCAAGAAGTGCCTTGGTCACAAATAGGTGATTCCGAGATATTGCGATTTGAAGGTTTATTTTTGATTATGAAATATTTCACAAAATGTTATGATCAAAATGTGGGTTGTATTATATTCCTGGTAGAAAGTGGATTTGACTTCCATGGTTAAAAAAGATAAAACGTTTTTGTTATATCCAAAAAATATACCTATACTTATAATAATTTGGGACTTTGGCACTTTTTGTGTTGAATTTTTTTTTAAATTAAGAAAAAATTTGTGTATACTTAAAAAAAGGTTTATTATATAACGCCGTAAAAAATACACAACGTGTGAACAAAACTTACTACATAAGAGTAATATGAATGACAAGAAACGCTTAAAGAAAAAGATTACAACATCATAAGTATGTTTCGTAAAAATACAAACAGATGGGTACCTACTGCTTTTGGTAAAAAATTCTTAGCTTTTTAATTAAAATATTCTTTCTTTATGATAAGTAACAAAAGACCCTCAAAAATTTAATCAGTGTTAAATGCGATTTTTTAGCCTTGCGGCATATTTTATTTCAAATTTGATATTTTTAAAACAAAATATGTAATTTTCACGATTGGGTTATTTTTTGTTTAAATACAATTAAATACACAGAACATAAGTGTTTAGACTATTAAGACATAAAATAGTATACCAAGTGATCAACAAAACTACACAGTCCACTGAAAATGGTTTTATTTATTATTAGTATCATCATACAAGTATTCGTATTATGATCAGTATCATTAAAATAAAACATATAAAATAGAATATTTTATGCTAAAAAAATTTAAAAGGAAAATATGTGTAATATTATAATACTTCTTTTTTGCACTTGACGACAAAATCTTCTGCTACTCTAAATTCCAGAGTTTCACCATTTTCAATTTCAATCTCTTCATCAAGCCTGATTAGGGTATTATTTACAAATATTTTAAACTCACTCTTATCGGTTTTGATTACATGTTTTAATTTAATTCTTTCATCATTAATGTTACAGAAAACAGCAGTGACATGGTCAAGATATACATAATAATCATTTTGTTCTAAATTGGCAAACCAACATTTGCTGTCACAGTAAGGTTCTAACATTGTATTTTTATGGGAGTTAAAATGAGTTTTAAGTTCAGAAAAGTTTTTAAAATTCTCACTACTGCAATTTGGCACTGGACAAATTGGTATGGGCTCACGTTTAATACAGTTCAGTTCATGTTCATAAAGATTAAAGATATCAAAATATTCTTCACATTTCCATTTGCAGTAAGCTTCTAAGTTTAGGTTTAATGCATTGGAATGTAAATATTCTTCTGGATAATGCCCTTTGGAACAAGTTTTGCTTATGTTGCCATTACATGATTGACAACATACAATAGGTTTAGAACAAGTTATGTAGTTATAAGAAGGTTTTGAATATAAATTTCTTCCACAAAAACTACAAAACAACATAAATAAATCCTCATCATCCTCAAGATCAGTGCAATACAATTTGCAGAGGGATAGTTTTTTATTGGGATATAATTGTTTAAATTTTGGGGATAAGTAAAGTTTTCTTTCAAAATAGTTATAGCTAATATAATTAATCATTGATTTTTGGTATATTTCTTTTAATGGTTCTTCTTTAATGTTTTTGTTTAGCTTTAATTGAACATTGGCAAACTGCACAGCATTAACACTTAAATTTAGTTCGCAAAAAATTTTGTCCAATTTTTTAAACTCTCCCAAGGAAAATTCAAATCTCTTTTTCAAAGATGTGTCACATGGTTACTGTTCATGCAAAACGAACCTTCTTGTACACGAAATTGCTGACTTATCCCTTTGGTTAATTCGTGGGGCCCAACCAACTTATTGTCCAGGAAAATTTTACCGTTCACTGTATCCACCGAAAGGTTCAACATAAAAAGAGTGTTATCGGTGCAATATAAGTAGAATTTGTCCGAATCGATGTTGCCATCAATTTGGACGACAGGCTTTTTCAGCAAATTATTTCTATGGCATTTTTTGAAGTGTGCCAGCATCATGTAGGGTGGCATTTTCGATTCGGTGCACAACGGGCAAGCGTCCAAGTTTCTGCTGATGCACCTCTTTTCGTGTTCTTTTACTTGTTCGGGAAGTAAAAGTGAGGTGCATCCCTCGTAACGATGAACGCATTTGAAGAGTGTGGTTGGAAAAACCTTATTCACCTGCGATGGCACTCCTCCATCGTCCTCTTCTATACAACGGCCGCATCTCACGGTTCTGTTCGGGTAGGCAAGAACTGGCAACACCGACAAGTATTTTGAACACTCTGAACAGACCAACTGATCCAAAATCTGGTCCGGAAGAATCGGACTCATTTTCGGGATGATGTTTTAACTTGGAAAGGAGATTAAACCATTTAACAAATGGTAAACATAACCTATACAAAATTCTTCAACTGATATTTTGGCCCTGTTAACAGGTCCGTACTAAACCATTTTTAAATAATTTTAGGATAACAGGGCCGGCTTCAAAACATTTTATAATATTAAAAATTTAATTTATTTAAAATATAATTTATACAAAAAGGGCGATTAAAATAAAATATAATAAACTAAAAATTTATTTAATTTCAAAAAATAAGAATACAAATAAATATCAGATAAAAACAGTTTTTTCAGTAATATCAACATTTAGGTAGTTCTAGTTTTCTAAAATTAATAAATTCTATAAATAAAACATGTAGGTACTTATAGGAACTTTTTAAATTTAGTTACATTTTCTACTAAATAATAGCAGACAGTTTTAACTTTAAAAACAAGACCTATATATAAAAATATTAAATATAAATATCAATGAAAATATTTATTTTTTATTATAAGTAACAAAAGACCCTAAAAAATATCTAATTTTTATGATTTTTTTTGAAAAAAATTACTGTATTATTTAATTGTATTTAAACTTTAAATACAATTAAATAATACGCTAAAGAAGTATCGCTAGTAGCGCCACCACTCGGCTGTTATCATCGTAACAAAAGTACAACTTTTATTAATCAGCTGTCAAAGGCTTATGTTACAAACGAGCGTTTTTGAGAATAATAATGTTAAAAAATATCGAAAAAAACCGTGGCACGATTTGTTGTGTTGTTGGGTGTATTTCGAGAGGAAATCCTAGGTTGAGTTTTTATCGGTTTTCCAATAAACAGTGTTAATCCGAATGAAGAAATAAATTTCATATTTTTTTTTATTTTTTTTAAATTAAGGATTATATTAAGAACAAATTTGTGTACGTATACTTAAAAAAAGGTTTAATATATAACGCCGTAAAAAATGCACAATGTGTGAACAAAACTTACTACATAAAAGTAATATGAATGACAAGAAACGCTTAAAGAAAAAGATTACAACATGATAAGTATGTTTCGTAAAAATACAAACAGATGAGTACCTAGTGCTTTTGGTAAAAAATTCTTAGCTTTTTAATTAAAATATTCTTTCTTTATTATAAGTAACAAAAGACCCTCAAAAATTTAATCAAAATGTTAAATGCGATTTTTTAGCCTTGCGGCATATTTTATTTCAAATTTGATATTTTTGAAACAAAATATGTAATTTTCACGATTGGGTTATTTTTTGTTTAAATACAATTAAATACACAGAACATAAGTGATTTAGACTCTATGTTTAGACTATTACCCAGACTGCAATGAAGGTTCGAAAATATTCCAGGAATATTCCCTATCGCCTAGGAATAATCCGCTTCATTCTAGGAATATTCATTGGGAAGTAAAAGTGAGGTGCATCCCTCGTAACGATTAACACATTTGAAGCGTGTGGTTGGCAAAACCTTATTCACCTGCGATGGCACTCCTCCATCGTCCTCTTCTATACAACGGCCGCATCTCACGGTTCTGTTCGGGTAGGCAAGAACTGGCAACACCGACAAGTATTTTGAACACTCTGAACAGACCATCTGGTCCAAAATCTGGTCCGGGAGAATCGTGTTCATTTTCGGGATCTCGTTTTAACTTGCAAAGGAGATTAAACCTTTTAACAAATAGCCCTGTGCACTCGCCCTGTGCACTCGCCTTAAACAAACAAAATCCACATTTTTGTCTAGTCGACTTTGGTTTTAGTTTACACCCCAAGCAACAATTTAAGTAT